GTCGTGCAGCACCACAGACACACTAAATCGTCCGTGTTCGTCTTCCAGGATCCTCGCTTCCAGTCTGCATTCACTCACTATAATCGGGGAGACACTATCACACGTGGAGACACAGATAATATATGAACTGGCGACGGCTTATCATCACTGGCGTAACACTATTCAAGAATCCGCTTCCGGCCGAATGAGTAGCATTATCCACTCAGTCGCCAGCAACGCGCAGCTCTAAACTCAGCGACAGCATCCCCGCTCATCCTATGAGAGCCTATCACAGAGGTGAGTCGACTTACAACACCACAGTTACTTCCATCACTCTACTCGCCCACACTTCTCCCATTCATCTCGGACATCACTCACTAAACAATACTTACTAATATAAATCAACTACTAAATGATAGGACCAATATCCATTAATATATATACTATTAAATACCTAACCTATATTATTCTCTTATATCAATATAATATACTATATTATTATATTATACTACCTATATATATATATACCATTATACTGTATATTATCAATAATGTATGCTCCTCTGGAATTACTATTTATATTATATAATTATAATATAACAATAGTTCACTAGGACATAATAGCTAAAGGCCTAAGAGAATAGTACTACGTACAGTGAAATCGGCTGTGTTAGCCCGCTCAACACTCTGCAGAATGGTCACAAAACTGCCGCCCATAAAAAATCGAACCCTGTATGCATGGAACACGCACACGACATTTTGAAATGTTCCGCTGAGTCACCTTAACTTCAGGCGTTTGAGGGTACTCCCTCTTCCCACTTAAGCATATAGAAAATGTAATAGAGGGCAGAGCTTCCCGTCCACGCCCTACTCAATACAGGCTGTACAAAGGGTAAGTAGAAACGACCAAGTTTGCTGCTCCCCTACGTGCTATAAATTACCTGGCGGTAATCGCCGATCACTGGCAGTTCTCGAATTTTTCACGGTTCTGTTCGAACCTTACGGCCACGTCTCGCGAAACCAGAGGGCTAGCACTCTGTATCAGTGACCGTTCGCACATTGCCTAGTCTAAAGAGTGAGCGGTCGGGCGCAACTAGATGCGTTGCCGAGCTACGGGGTCGTGCGACACCGCCGGCATTTAAACACTGCGCGTGTCAGCGATTGGCATGCACACGACCAGCCAGCGCTGCACCCCGTGTGACAGGTCCCTGCGACAACCCCGACGTAGTTCAGGTGGCGGCACCGCCCGCCGGCACCAAGCAGCGGACCTGAGCCCGTGGCGAAAGGCTCCGCGGCGCTAGCTACCTACGCAAACGAGTCAACTCGCGCGTACCGTCGCAGGCGCACCGACGTGCCAGTAGCGCCTGCAGTTGGACTTTAGGGGAAAGAAGTGTTTCGGTGGTGCCTCAGTGCGCACGTGTATTTGCTTGCAGTAGGCTCGTCTGACTTTCTCTGAACGTTCTGCCAAATTGCATCCCGCGAGGAGGGGGCGTTGATGATTTTTTCTACTGCGGTCGTCAGCAGAGGGATGCCTATGCCGCGCAGAAGAAGCACTCGCGCTGTGTTGAGAAGAAGCGAGGCGATGCACGAGAGAGCGGCGGCGGCGGCCGCTGGCAAGCGTTAAACACGCTGTTTGGCTTTTGGACTCCGATCTCGCGCGCGGTGAATCACAGACAGACAACTAGAGCTGTTTTTTCAGTTTTCTCTTTGTGTTTGGGCGGGAGCGATCGCATGGCAATGCATGGCATCGAATCACAAGAGTAAAGCACAAGCATCTGCCAAGGTGGCATCTTCATAAATCCGTCAGAGAGCAATAGCTGGCAGGAAGAGTAATAACATGGCGTTGGGGGGGGGGCAACGAGCGAGGCGCCTGATTATGCGCGACACGGACATAAGCCGACTAAGGACAGCGTATTCGAGGGCTTTACACGTACAGCCGCGTGCGCTACCCCGACGGTGGCACGAATGCAGCCCTACCAGAATCTCTCTCCTCCTCTCTTCTCCTTCTCTCTTCATCTCTCTTCTTGCGTCTCTCTCTCTTCCACTACACTCTCACGTCTCTCTTTTCTCTTCCTCCGTACCAGGTCTTCCTTCCATCTATCTTTCCTCTCTCTTTCTCTTCCTTCTCCTCCGAGTCATTTCGTTCTCCTCAATTTCTCTGCTCTCCCTCCCTCCTCCTCCCTCGCCTGCCCAGGGGTCTTTCTCCTTTCCTACTGCTTTCTCTCTCTCTCCAGCTGGCCCGTCTCCCACTCCTTCGTGTCGGGCTGGCTCGTGCGCGTCGACATAGTCCGCCTCTCTCCTCTCGCTCCTCCCCCGTCTGGCCGGCCGAGCCCATCTCCCCGGCTGATCGGCTCTACGCTCCGGGGACGATGCTTGTTGTGGATCATTGCCTGCCTGGCCAGTATGCGCGCGGACCCCGCGCCCGTACTGCCCCCGCAGGCCTCACGCTTTCTCTCTCGTCCTGCTTCCTCTCTCGTCTGTCACTTGGTCGCTGCGAGCCCTTCGCCTTCTTCTCTCTACCCTCCCTCTCCCCATCTGCCTCTCTCCCTCCCTCTCCTCTGCTCCCCCGCCTCTCGCCTCTCGGCGCTCGAGGTAGGTAGCGGGTAGGGTAGCCCATCGACAACCCTACGCTCGGGCCGTGCCGCCAGCGCTCGCGGACGCTCCAGACTCCGCAAGCAAACACAGCGCTCAGCGTTAACGCACAAAGGCAGGTACAGTGCAAACAATATACATATAATGAATACATATAATCTAGAGTTTATAACTACAAGCAATCACACGCGACGCTTACCCCGCGCGTTGCGCATTAGGTTACATAGTAGAGTCATGCTAGAATAGATTATGGATGTTATGCATGGTAGCGTTAAGAAGTCTGGCAATGCTGGATATGTACCATTATTACGCATAGTAAACATGGGTAAGAATATATTATCGGGATGTCAATATATGGTACGTTAAGAAAGTCTGGGCAAAGCTGGAACTTTACTGCAAGCAACCACAACAACACTGCAAGGGCAACCAACTAAGAAATACCGCTGTACATAAGTAGTATATATTATAGATGTTTTAAAGAAAGATGGTAGGTTTAAAAAGTCTGCTAGCAACTGCAGGGCAAACACTCAGTCTTCTTCTGCGCACGGTGACCACGCCACACAATGCTCTCTTTCCCCTGCAGTCATACTGCATACCGGCGAACAATTGACCAAACAGGTTATATGCCTATGTTTGTTGGCAAAAATCCGCTGCAAAATATCTCATAAAAATCACACCTTAACTTGCAATTATCTCATGATACCGTAAACATTCACAATCTGTTTGCATATAGCAATGTGAAAGCACAATGTGAATGAACAACAAGGAAGTTATTTGAATTCCTCCAAAGTATGAATAACGATAAATGCACGACCATGCACTATGCTTCATCCAGAACATGCCGCTACTGTCAGCTTTGCATGTTATCAACTACGCCGGCGCCCTCACGATCACAAACCCGGGCCGCCTATTCTGAGGCAGAAAATCGCTCGTCAGACTGGAGCTGCGCGACCCACGAATTACTCCGACAGAAAAACGCCGCCATTTTAAGCATCTTTGCTTTCCCCCGCGGCACGTTCGGTCATTCTCGCTCACGCTGCCGTCTTCCTTTGTCGAATTAATCTACTTAACTTACACTTTAAATCCTCCGTAATCACTTCGTACCTACTCGCTTCGCACCTGGGGGGGATTACGCTGCATTAGCCTCGATGCGTTGGCCGATGTCGCCCGCGACATAACCACAGGCTCAAGCAGCTAGCATCAGTACCAACGCTTACTCCCCCATGAGTGTGATTTGACACCGATCACGATTACACTTAATGGTGAACGGAGATAGATGCAGGGCGAGAGAGAGACGAGAGAGGGAGCGAGGGAGAGAGACGAGAAAGCAGAGAGAGAGACGAGAGAGAGAGAGAGACAGAGAGAGAGAAGAGAGGAGGGAGAGGGAAGAGGAGAAGGAGAGGGAGAGGGAGAGGGAGACGGGAGAGAGAGGGAGAGGAGAGGGAGAGGGAGCAGGGAGAGGAAGGGGAGAGGGGACGACCGGCGGAAGCAAGAACACAAGGAGAGACAGGAGAAGGGAGAGGGAGAGGAAGAAGGGAGAGGAGAGGGAGAGGGGAGGAAGAGGAGAGGGAGAGAGGGAAAAGGGAGAGGGAGAGGGAGAGGACGAGGGACGACGGGACCGAAGGGAGAGGGAAGAGAGAGGGAGAGGAGAGGGAAGGGAGAGAGAGAAAGAGAGAGAGAGAGAGAGAGAAAGCGAGAGATGAGCAGAGAGAGGGAGCAGGGAAAGAGAAGAGACAGAGAAAGAGAAAGAGAGGAGAGAGAGAGAACAGAGAAAGAGAAAGAGAGAGAGAGAGAGAGAAAAGAGAGAGAGAATAAAGAGAGAGAAGAGAAGAAGAGAGAAGAGAGAGAGAGATTCTGGATGGCTGCATTCGTGCCACCGTCGGTGCGCACGCGTGTACGTGTAAGCCCTGACATTACGCTGTCCTTGTCGTATGTCGTGTCCGCATATCAGCCCTCTCCGTTGCCCCCCCCAACGCAGTATTACTCTCCTGCAGCTATTGCCTTCTGACATTTATTGAGATGCACCTTGCATGCGCTTTCTCTTTATTCATGCATGCATGCATGTATGCCCGCAAACACAAAGAAAACTGAAAAACAGCTTAGTTTGTGGTGATTCACGCGCGCGAGATGGAGTCAAAGCAAACAGCGTTAACGCTGCCGCCGCCGCCGCCGCCGCTCTCTCTGCATCGCCGCTTCTTCTCAAACAGGCGAAGTCTTCTTCTGCGCGGATAGATCCCTCTGCGTGACCGCGCAGTAGAAAAAAATCATCAACCCCCCTCCTGCGTGCAATCAGAACGTCGAGAGAAAGTCAGACGAGCTACTGCAAGCAAATACACTGCGCACTGAGGCACACGAAACACTTCTTTCCCCTACAGTCCAACTGCCTACTGCCGTCTCGCCTGCGTACGATTACTGTTTGCGATACGTACCTAGCGGCGGAGCCTTTCCCACGGGCTTCAGTCCGCTGCTGGTGCCCGCGGTGGCGCCACCTGAACTCGTCGGTGTCGCAGACTTCGACACGGGGGTGGGTGGCTTGTCGTTCTGCAATCGTGACACGCGCAGTGTTAAATTCCGGGCGGTTCGCACGATCCCCGTACGCGGCAACGATCTTTGCGCGACGCTCACTCTTTAGACAGGCAATGTGCCAGACGTCACTGATACAGATGCTAGCTCTGTTTCGCGACGTCCGTAAGTTCGACAGAACGTGAAAAATCGAACTGCCATGATCGCGCGATTACCGCATAATTTATAGACGTAGGGGGAGAGCAGAAGCTTGGTGTTCTACTTACCCTTTGTACAGCCTTATGAGTAGGGGGGGGGGAAGCTCTGCTCTATTACATTTTGCATATGCTTAGAGTGGAAGAGGGAGTACCCTCAAACCTGAATGTAAGGGTGACTCAGGGGAAACATCAAAAGTGTCCTTTATAAACAGGTGTGGCCATTCTGCAGAGGTGAGCGCTAACACAGGTTTCACTGTAGTAGTACTATTCTCTTAGGCCTTTATATTATGTCCTATGGAACTATATTTATATTATATAATATATAATATAAATATAATTCCATAGGACATAACATATGATATATACATATAATATATATATATATATATATATATAATAATATATAATATATAATAAATAAATATATATATAATATATATATATTATTAATATAATAGATTATATGATATAATATGTTTGGTGTGGGCATGAGTATGAGTAACTGTGTGTTGTAGTCTCACCTCTTTGATAGGTTTAGATGAAGGTGTGCTGGAGTTAGAGCTGGCGTTGCTGCGAGGGCTCATCGGCCGATCCTTCTTAATGTCGCTGCCGTCGCCGTTCATCTTCTCCCGCGAGTGCTCCCCGTTGGGGAGGAATCGGGGAAGAGGATCCTGGACGAACGAACACCACGATTTAGTTTGTCGCAGACGACAATAATGATGACGATAGATGATGATGATGACGACGTAGTGAGGTGAGGGTGAGGACTATTACGTCGATGGCAAATCGTCTTCGTTGTCGCCATCAAGCAAGGTCTAATATCTATCGCAAATATCTTAGTCATTGTCATTAAGCAAGGTCTAATATCTATCGCAAATATCTTAGTCTGTCAATTAAGTTCAAGGTCTAATTACTTATTCGCAAATATCGTAGAATTGTCATTAAGCAAGGTCTAATATCGACTCGCAAATATTTTAGTAATTTCATTAAAGCTAAGGTCTAATATCTTATCGAAGATCTGTTACGCATTGTTCCATAAAGCAAGGTCAAATACTATTCGCAAAATATCTTATAATTGTCCCATGTAAGCAAGGTCCTATAATCTCTATCGCAAAATTATCTTTAAGTAAATTGTCATATAAAGCAAGGTCTAAATCTATCGCAAATGGAGTCTTAGTAATTGTCATTAAGCAAGGTCTAATATCTGATTCCGCGAAATCTCTTAGTAATTGGCATTAATGCAAGGCTCTAATATCATATCGCAAAATATCATTAGTAAGTACATATAGCAAGGTCTAATCTATGCAAATTATCTTAGTAAATTGTCATTAAGCAAGGTCTTAATATCTATCGCAAATATATCTTAGTAATGGGTCATTAAGGCAAAGGTCTACATATCTAGCGCAAATAACTTAGTAATTGGTCATTAAGCAGGTCTAAATATCTATGCAAATACGCTTAGTCACTGTCATTAAGTCAAGGTCTAATAATCTATGGGCAAATATCTTAGTAACTTGTATGAAGCAAGGGTTAATATCTATTCGCAAAATATTATAATTGTCATATGAAGCAAGGTGCTAACTATCTCCTCAGCAGGGGGGCAAATATTCTAGTAATTGTCATTAAGCAAGGTCTAATACTTATCGCAAATATGCCTAGTAATTGTCATTAAGCAAGGTCTAATATTCTATCGACAAAATAACTTAGCGTAATGTCATTAAGCAAGGTCTAATATATCTATGCGGCAAATATCTATAGCATTGTCATTTAAGCAAGGTCTAATCATTATACTGCAAATATGCTTATAATTGTCATTTAAGCAAGGTCTATTCTATCGAAATAGTCTAGTTAAAGGTGTCATTAAGCAAGGTCTAATATCTACTCGCAAATAATCTTAGCATTGTGCATAAGCAAGGCTCTAATATCTATCCGCAAGATAGTTCTCGGTATATTGTCATTAAGCAAGGTTCTAATACTATCGGAATTATCTTCGTGATTGTCATTAAGCAAGGTCAATATCTATTGCGGCAAATGACTTAGTCATGTGTCATTAAGCACGGTACTAATATCTATTCGCAAATATGATTCTTAGTCATTGTTCAGATCAAGCAAGGTCAAATATACTATCGCATATAATATCTTCTTGCATGGTCATCGACAGTGCCTGATCGCCTGCCTACCTGTTCCTTGCACGCCCATCCCCCCGTGACGCCCCACCTCCTCTCATCGCACGGGGGTTGGTTGCTGTTTGGTTCGTTTGTTGGTGTGTTGTTTTGTTGCGGTGACCGCCCACGAACTCCGTCCTATCACGTCTGCAGACAAGTGAACGGGCGCGACGGGTGCGCCGGATTCCTGCGGCGCACGGATCGGCGCCGGTATTAAACAGTTCGTGAACCTAACAGCGGGCGTGAGGTCGCCTGTGGCAAGAAATGAACAGCCCCCACAACCACCGAAATTCCGACCGACCACACTTGACATGCGTGGTCCGCCGGAATGCGCCGATGACGACTCGACCGGGTTGGTGCTTGGTGACCGACGCCGGCGGCGGACGTCCGGCAGTACGCTCGGCTGCGCGGATAAGTCTCTTTCAAAGTCTCCCATTGAAACAGGGGGAAGAAGAGGCCTTCGCTTCTTTCTGTCGGACGGTCCCGTCCGGTCGTAATTTCACCGCGCCACAACGCCGGCTCGCTCGCGCGCCTCGCTTAACGGCCGCGATAAATCGCTCTCTCACGGGCTCGCGCGCTGCACGTGGTAGCGCTTAATTCATCCGATGCAGTCGTCTTTTCCGCGCTGCCGCTGTGATTTAATCCCCAAATTAACGCGCGGATATCGAGTGGGGGAGGGGGGGGCGGGCATGGCGTGACTGTTTCAGAGGTAGCGACGGCGAGCCATTTAACGGACGCGCAGTGATCGTGCGGCGGGGGTACGGAGCGCTGCGATCTGCGGCCGGGCTTCCCCTTTTCATCCGGTCGCCGTGACGACGGAGGTCTTCTGCCTGCTGTGTGACGTCAACAGCCGGCCATCTTCACGGGCCTCCCCCGCCCCTTCCCTGGACCCTCCCCCTGCAATCCCTGATCTTCCCTGGATGGGGGGGATCTTAAACCCCCCTCCCTGGACGTCCCCCCAGCGCTGGACCCTCCCCTGCAATCCCTGACTTTCCCTGCATGGGGGGATCTCTTAGAGAGAGGCTCTAGTTACGCGTGGCAGTGAAAGCGAAGCAAGGGAGCATCTTAGAATCAAGCGGTGATAATAGTTAAATGTGGCAGTCAAAGTCAAGGATAGGAGTATCTTGGAAGCAAGCAGAGATACTAGTTAAATGTGGCAGTCAAAGTCAAGGACAGGAGCATCTTAATTGGAATCCAGGGAAGATGGTAATTAACTGCAGCAGATGATCGGAAGCAGGCAGCTGCTAGTGGTTCACACGAGAATCGTCGCGCTGCGGACTCGCGCCACCGCCGCCGCCGCCGCCGCCGCCTCCTGCACGCGGAACTTTTTTAACGAGATAATTGCCGAAACGGTCTGACAAGTTGCCAGCTCAATTTTGTTTGCTCAGCGCCGATACTACTTTGCTCAAAGTTACGATGGGCCGATGACATAATTAGCTACGACGTCATCCGTGCGGGCTCCCCCCTGCCGTGATCCGATTCGAGATTCATGATGACTGTAATTTGCAATTAAGACTCATTCACACGACAGTGGCAATCAGAGTTGTTAACGTGCGGGTATGCCGAATAACCACCAAGAAGCTAATACCAGTCATGGAGGAGCCCAGACAAAATTTAACTGCCACGTCCAGTCTCAAACTAACTGTACGCTAATATTATAGTTCGTGACCTCCCATCTTGTTCTCCCTACGCAAACACGCGTGTTCGTGATAATGACTCTTAACCAAGCCTGTGCAAATACCGCTGTATTGGGGCAGACCTCTTTCTCACAGATGATATATATATATATATATATACACGTAAAAAGAGCCATCTAATTGCTACAGTGCATAAAAAGACGTTTGGCCTTTTGAACGCTCTTGAGATCACTTAACCAACTTCACCACGAACATCGTGTGAAGTCACAACACGGTCACCTAATTAAGCGTTCAGCGTGTGCGCGGGTGGATGTACCCCGAAACGTTCTCTTTTCGTATGCGAGCAGCGCAAAAAAACCGCAGGCAGCGTGATCAGGACAGTAGGGTGTGGTTTGCGGATACACTGTACGACGTGATGAAGAATGAAGAATGAACAAGATGGTGTTTGACAGTGTCACTCGATGGTGAAGTCCCCGCCCACACAGTAGGTGACAGACAACACACTGCATACCTCATTCGCAACATCGACGACCAAGTCCTGGTCACTTTTCTCATCCTCGCTGTCCTGTAAAATGACGAGAACAACACGACGTTAGAGAAGGAAGGCAGGCTGTTTCTACATCAAACATGCACGAGCGAGAGAGAGAGAGAGAGAGAGAGAGAGAGGAGGAGAGAGGAGGAGGAGGGAGGGAGGAGACGAGAGAGAGGAGAGACGACGAGAGAGAGAGAGAGAGAGAGAGAGAGGAGGGAGGGGAAGGGAGAGAGGAGGGGGTGGGGGAGAACGACAGAGAGAGGAGAGAACGACAGAGAGAGGAGAGAGGAG